GGGCGGGGCGGGGGCGCACGGCCGGCCGGCTCCGCCGCGGCATCTGTTCGCGGTGCTGAAACCCGGAGCGCTGAGCTCAGCGCAACTAAGTCACAATGGACAACTTTTCCTCCTCGGAGGGGCGCGAGGGGGGTCGGCAGCCGCACCCCCCTCCCGATCGCGGGAGCTTCTTGTGAATCCTCTTCTGCGTCTAAAGCCCAGAGACCAAAGTTGGGGCAGAACCGAGAGGGGGGGTCCCGGGGGCGCCTTTCTTTTGTTCCACGGGAGCTGGCGTTAGGTTCCAAGAATAAAAAGTGAAGCCAGCGAAGTGGTGGGGAGGGGACGCTCAGAGGAAGGGCTTTTAGAAAAAGGGGTTTGCCTGGGACCCAGAGATTGCTTCCCAGGAGCGCGGCGGCATCCAGGCCCGAACAGTCGTCCCCGCCGCCCCCACTCTCAACCGGCGTGGAGCGGGCGACGCGGGCCCGGGAATCTCCACGTTCCCAAAACCATGGTCACCAACTCAAGATGGACGCCGGCGCCGCGCCTTCGAGGTGCAGCTTGTCCCTCTCGGCCACTGCCGGGGCGCCGCGCTCCCCCACCTACCCCCGCCGCCGCCGGGCTCTTTCTTTGCAGAAAGGAGGGACAGGACGGTAACTTTGAGGACCGGAGCCAGACACCCAGGGGAGTCTGCGCGGGGAGCGCCCACGCTGGCACTTTATAGGGTTCTGCCGAAGTGCCCGGCGACCCCTCCCGGGCCCTAGCCTGGGGGGTGTGGGGGAACATAGGCCCCTCGCTTACTTGTTTGTCGCTGAGCGCTGCGATCCGCGGCTGCCTTTCGTGGAGCTGCTTCTTGAGGTCGCCGTTCTGCGGAGACACGGAGGAGCGGGCTGAAGCCGGGGTGGGGGGAGGTAGGTCCTGTGCGCCCCAAGTTTCCCGGCCGCGTCCCGCACGCGCGCACGGAGGCCGGGCAGTGCCGCTTACCTGTGGCTGCCGCCTCATCGGGGCGCCTCGCGGGGCGGGGCGGGGGCGCAGGCCACCCGGCGGCGCGCCCCGAGCCGTGCAAGTGCGCAGGCCGGGTTGCGTGTGCACGAGTGTGAGTGTGAGTGTGTGCCAGGGGAGGGGGGAGGAACAAAGAGCCAAGTAAACACGGCGAGTCCGTGTCGAGCAAAGCTCATAAATATTCAAGTCGCGTCCTAATCTCTCCACACACACACACACACACACACACACACACACATACACACTCGCGCGCGCCGCAACACCGCTCGGGCCCCGGGCGCCACGCCGCTGCCACCCGCCCGGCGACCGTCGCCAAAACTACTTTGCAGCAGCGCCAGGTGTGCGTGTATGGGGACCAGGGAAACGGAGGGGGGCTCTCCATGCTCTCCTCCCGGGGAGAGCTCCCGCGGGGCGCCCTCGCGCACACCAGGCGCTCAGCGCAGACTCCGCAGCAAGGACGGGAAAAGCGGGGTTCGGTTCCCTCACGCCCCCAACTCCACCGTACAGGATCGCGGGTAAAGGCGCAGGGGACACCGAGTGGGTGCTGAGCATACCTCCCCGCCCCTGCGGGGGCGCCAGGAGTGGGGGCCCAGCCCCAGAGACCCCCCCCAGTCCCGGGAGAGAAGACTCGTGCTCTCGACCTCCACTCCTCCGTCCCCTTCTCGACCCGGACCCACCCACCCGGTCACCTACCTGGTGGCGGGAGAGTTCCACGGCGAGCGCCTCAGGCCGGCTCTGCAGCTCCATCCCGGGAACTTGGGCAGCACTTTGCGCGCACTTTGGCCCCAGCTCCTGGGAAGTTGTGCGGCTCGGCGAGGGGCCGGGCCCGGCGGGGGTGGATCGGGACTTCTAGGGGGTGGTGATCCCGAGCCCCCTCCTCCACGGCCCAGTGGAACGGGGCTGGCGAGGGGTAAGAAAGGCGGCCGGGCGCCGAACCCGGGCCACCCCAACTCCTCAGGCTGCCCGGCAAGTTGCGCCGGGTCCCCGGGCTGCGGGCGCGGCCTGGCGCATGGCCCCCCCGGCGCCCGCAGCCCCACGCACCCCGCGCGCACCCCGCCGCCGGCAGGGACTATATTTCCTCCGGCGCGCGCGCCTGGATCTCGCTGGGCCTCGGCAAAGTTGTGCCTCGGCACGATGCTAATTCGGCAGTGCCCGGATGGAGCGGGCCGGGGCGGCAGGGGGCGGGGCCGGGGCCCACCGCTAACTCCGCCCACCTCCCGCCCCGCCCCGCCCCATCCGCGCGTGCGCACTGCCGCCCCTCCGTGGCCGGGCGCCCCGAGCGGAGAACAAAAGTGTTAGTGTAGAGAAGCGCGAAATCCGGACCCACTCGGGCTGCGCGCGCCCACGAGGTCCTCCTCTGCGTCCCCGGCAGATGCCCACGAGAACGGGTCGCCCTTCCCCCGCTGCCTGGGCGCCCCGCTGGACTTCTGGGCTAAGGACACTTTGCCATGGAAGGGACGATGCCCTTTTTTCCTCGGGTCTTCTGTCTGCACCTTTTCTTCCTTTGCTCCCTCTTCTGTTTCGTTTTAATCATCTCCCGTCCGCTCCTGAGTCAGTGCTGCGACTTGGGAGACAAAATTAGTCTTGTCGCCAGAGTCTCCCTCCGCCTGATGGCCACCGTACTGCTTAAACAGTGTGAAAATTGATCTCTCGGCTGCTCCTTTAATGACTTTTTTTTACACTCACAATTAAACTCTCAACAGATGTCACTGGACTTTTTAAGACAGTTGTTAAAAATCGTAAACACGCCGGGTCAATGTGACATAAAATAATTATAACTACAGCCGCAGAGATCACATTTCCCAATTCCCAGCCCCACAACCAGGAGGTTAATGTCTGGAATCCATATCGCCGCCCTGGAGTTACTGAGACCATCAGTTTTTCTTTTTGTTTGTTTGTTTGTTTTCTGAGCTCATCAGTTTGCGTCGGAGACAGTGCTCTGTGCCCCGTGGGTAGCTCACTGGTGTGTATGAAAGATGCTATGAGAAGGCGTTCGATCCTATTTCAAAGTAAATGTTTGAACTGGTAAATTATATCTTCGTGTTCCCCTTGAGCACAAAAAGATGCCTAGGCACGTGCACCTGGAAACGCCCCTTTCAGCAGAGGCCAATATACATGCGTTTCTTCTGCTGTCACAGAAATCAGTGGACCCTCCCGCCGCCAAGCCCACAGTGATGTTCTACCTCTGCTGGGGCATTTGTCTCAAATGACTTAGGTGGAGTCCTCCACATATAAAGGGCCGCTTATCCCTTCCCAGTACCTAGACTTCAGAAGTACTCCACAGCTTTGGTACTGGACGCAAAGGGAACTCATGTTCTAGGTGGTTATGATCCCTTCAGCGTCCTGCAGGTGCACGACAGAATGACTGACGCCAGGAGCCTGGGAGGACACACGCTCCTCCCACTTCTGGGGTCGGCCCAGCTCCTGGCGGTGTCTCCCCCTACTTCCTGGTTTTTGGATTTGTTTTGTGTGTGTTGCTGTCCTGGGGATGGAAGCAGGGCTGCACCCCTACTTGGCACTTTTGCAGGATGCTAGCCTGGGAGAGTGGTCTGCCCTGGGGACAGAGAAGGCGCCCATGCAAAAAGGATTCCTACTGTAATCTCTGTAAATGTCACTGGCATTTTGGTAAAAATTCAGGGTAATTTCATCATCAGCCATGCATGGTGATTAAATCCAGAGAAGACATTGCAGTCCCCCCTGACCCACACAGACCCCGAAGACGCGGGGTAGAGGAAGGCGGTAAGGAGCTCTCAGTGGACAGTTGACAGCGTCCTTTGCAAGTTTTTGTTAACTACTGTGGGTTTCAGTGATGATCATCTACCCACCCCTTTTCTCTGTTACTGCGTTACCTACTTCCTGCATGGGCTACTGAGGTTCCAGGTTGTGTACAAGCCCGGAGGGAGTCCTGGGCAGCAGGCCTCCCTGCCTTGGCCTGGGCTGTGCCTTCCCTCTGGAATACCCTTTCCCTTGTCACCTGCTTTTAAAAGTCCTGCTTTTCCTCCAGGATTCCCTTCAAATGCTTTTTGGGAAAAACTTCCCCTCCTTTTTCCATGGAGGCCACCAGGCAGCGCTGACTTAGCGGTGGCCGCGCATCCTCTGATGAAGGTGACCCTTGTTTACTGATCCCCGGAGCCTCAGCCAACTGGAGTCTGGCTGTGGTGGAACACAGGGCAGTGTGTTCAAGGAGGAGTGGGGCCGACACTTTCTTGGGGAGGGAGGAAGCTGGGGCCCCAGTGAACCAGGGGAGGCTGAGAGCTGAATTCTGGGTGGGAACAGCAGGTTGCACCATGGGTAATGGCCACAAGCAGTAGGGATGCAGAAGGTTAGTTCCAGCGACTTTCTCCTCAGCCACGTCCTAGTCAAGTGGAAGGGGTAAGATCTGAGACTTGAGCTACCCCGAGTAGCCTGGTGACCTTGGGCACACTCCACCTCCGCTCAGCTCCTCCCGTGCCCGACCTTGGCCACCTGCTCCATGAAAGCTTCCATTGCTGTACCTGTCTGGCTTGACCTGCCTGTTGGGAAGGACCGGCCCCTCGGCCTGGCCTCCACCCTAGGGGGGATCTTTGTGGGCCCCAGCACCCAGCTCCATCTTGTGGGCCCATGGAGGGCCTGTCTGCTCCTCCTCTCTGGCTTGTGAGTGAGGGGTTGCACCCCAGCTCAACTCTGGCCTCCAGTGGCCAACCAAGGGTTTGGGTAACACAACACAGAGACCCAGCGGGGGTATGACATGGTGTGAACTTGGGCCACCTAGAGAGAGGATTCAGACACGAGCCAGCAGGTCAGCATCTCTCCCTCCCAGGGCAGTGGCCCTGAGTGCCTGTCCCTAGCAACCAGCGGTGCCCTCAGGTTGTTGTAACTCCCGGCCCCGGCCTTGATCCCTGGCCTCACCCTGCTGCCCCAGCACCGGCTGCACCTTGGATAGATGCGGGCTCTATTTCCCTGTTCTTTGCAGAACGCCTGGCTGAGACGGGAGCAGTGAGCTCTCCTCTCACACGTGCTCACCAGCACTGAGGAGCCAAGGTCCACAGAGGCCCGCAGAGCGCTGGGAGAACCCCAAGCCAAATGAGCACTCTCGGGCTAAAACCTGGGTTTTCAGTCTCTCCCCACATGAAAGGCCAGGTGAACCGTGAGAAAGGATCTGCACAGCAAGTATGAATTTGCACCTGTGGGGCGTAAGTCCCCCAGGGCTCGGGTTTGTGGGGTAGTGAGGGAGCCTGCAGAGAACCAGACATGGAAATCCTCATTGAGAAGGCCCTGCACTAAAATGCACACCACGAGCCGCTGGCACAGCAGCTGGGAGGGGTCTGAGAGGGGTCAGTTACAGGAAGATTGGGGTAGAGTCGGGAAAATCATCACCCTCCATCCAAACTTTGCTCACGCCCACAAAGCATTGGCCCTTGGCATACGTGATAGACCCTTAGCAAGGCCCGGTGCACAGGTCTGGAGCGCCCATTTTACAGGTCAGAAAACTGATGCCCAGGGCACAGGGTAGTTTGATGGGGTTCAGTGTGCAGACTAAGGTAGAAGACACTGGGACCTAGGTTTAGGCTCTTCCACTGTGGGCCTGGGATGCTTTGGACATGCGACCAAAGATAAATTGGTTTGCAGTGACAGAAAAGGAATTCTGGTTGAGGAAACAGCAGAAGCCATGATCCTGAGGTCAGCTATATCGGGGGCCTTTGAGGACCTATGATGTGTCACTGGTGGAGCAAAACAAACAGGACAGAAATGATGTTGGTATCAGATCCCAAGGGCCTACAACACCATGGTGAATTTATAAGTGTGTTATCTGAGCAGGGAACCCGAGGAAGACATCTACACTGGCTGGAGCCCAAAGAAACCAGGGAAGGTGTGGGGAGGGACGTGAATGTGTAGTTTGCGCTACATTCTCAGCGGGGTGCAAGGCTGACCCTGTGTTACTGCTCTGCATGTCATTTGCCTTTTCACCTTCTGGAGAAGGCGTCCTCGATGTCATTCGGTCCCATAGAGGTGAGTGTGATTATCCCTGCTTTGCAGATTGGCAAATTGAGGCCCTAAACGGTGCTGTAACTCTCCCAAGCTATCCTAGGGACACTGTACCTATCGAGGCCTCTGCACCTGCCGGGGCCTCTCATCCTGAGGCTGGACGGGTTACGTGGTCAGCCAGCTGAGGGGACGGGGTAGAAGTCACCCTCTCTGCTCACCCGACTCCGGAGCCTGTGCTCTGCCCAGTGCTCCACCTTGTCTTCCAAGCAGTGGCTGAGTCTTGAGTCCAGGACACTGGTGTAGGGGTGTCGGGGGCCTAAGTCCCACCTGGCCGAGCCACAGGGCCCATGGCAACATCCAAGACTGTCACTCTTCTTCCTGCGAAATGGGAGGCTGGGCCTGGCCAGCGGCTCACCCCACAGCTCAGAGGCCACACAGGTACACGATGCCAGGCGCTGGTGGGAGGCCCCTGGGCCACCCCCACTCAGTGGGCCTGCGGAGCACAGCACCCCAAGGCAGCTGAGCACGTGCTCCTGTCGTCCTCTGCTCTCCCCTCCCAGCCCATCACACGCTCCCTGCATCCTACTGTACGCCGTGCAGGAAAGTGCATTTGGGCTCCCCCTGGTTCCAGGCACAGAGCTCCCCAAACCCCTGGCATTTCTCAGTGGGAGTGATTTGTTAGTCATAGGGCACCGCACTAGGTTGCACCCGAGTT